ACAACCAATGAGTCAACAAAGAAACCAAAAAGGAAATAAAATATCTTGAGACAAATGAAAATAGAAATGCAACATGCGAAACTTACAAAATATAGGAAAAGCTGTTCAAGAAGAAAGTCTATATATATAAAAACCTACCTGAAGAATAAAAAAGAGCTCAAATAAACAATACACCTCAATGAAATAGAAAAAAAGTAAAGCAAATTAAGCTCAAAATTATCCAAAGGAAGAAAATTACAAAAATGGCAGAAATAAATGAAACTAGAAAAATAATAGAACAGATTAAAAAAACTAAGAGTTGGATTTTTGTAAAGATAATCAAAATCAACCAACTTTTATCTAAGATAAAAGAAAAAGAAGGAAGACTCAAATGAATAAAATTTAAAATGAAAGAGGTGACATTACATCTGATACCACAGAAATATAGAGGATCATTATAGTATACAATAAACAATTATATACCAACACATTGGATAGAACAAATGGAGAAATTTCTAGAAACACACACCTGCTAAGACTGAAACATGAAGAAATATGAAATCTCAATAGATGAAAAATGAATAAGAAAATCGAATTAGTAATCAAAAAACTCCAAGAAAGAAAAGTTCAAGATCAGATGACTTCGCTGGAGAATTTTACCAAATATCTACAGCAGAATTAATATCATTCTTTCATAAACGCTTCACAATATTGAAGAATAATATTACCCAACTAATATTTTAGGAGGCTAGCATTACCTTGATAACAAAGCTGGCTAAGGACACAGCAATGGCAGATTCTTTTAAAAGCATAAATGGTATATTCTTGGATTTGAAAATACTGGGTTGATTTGTAAAAAGATGTCTGATGGGGGATTGGGAAGTTATTTATATGCACACACACATATATACATTTACTAATTTTACTGAGCTTTACGTCCTTGTGCCTAGCCCATATTGCACTTTTTTTTTTTTGCAGATTGAAATTTTGTGGGAAGACTGTCCCAAGCAAATCTACTAGTGCCATTTTTCTAACAGCATGTGCTCATTTTATGTTTCTGTGTTACATTTGTAGAGTATTCCAATTTTTAAAAAATTTGTATGTCTGATATTATAATGATCTGTAATCAAGAATGTTTGGTGTTACTATTGTAGTTGTTTGGGGTGCCATATAAGACATGAACTTGATCAATCTACCTGCTCTACCAACTGGCTGTTACCCTATCTCTTCTTTCCTCAGGCCTCCCTATTCCATGAGACACAACAATATTGAAATTAGGCTGATTAATAAGCCTACAAAGGCCACTGAGTGTTCAAGTGAAGGGAAGAGTCACATGTCTCTCATTTTAAACTAAAAGCTAGAATGAGTAAGCTTAGTGAGGAAGGCGCATTAAAAGTCAAGACAGACTGAAAGCTAGGCCTCCTGCACCGAATAGTCAAGTTGTGAATGCAAAGGAAATGTTCTTGAAGAAAATTACAAGAGCTATTCCAGTGAACACACAACTCATAAGAAAGCAAAATATTCTTACTAGTGATAAGAAAATTTGAGTAATCTGGATAGATGAGCGAGACTTAAGTCAAAGTCTTATCCAGAGCAAGGCCCTAACTTTTCTTAAGCCCTTGAAGGCTGAGAGAAGGAAGCTTCAGAAGAAAAATTTGAATCTAGCAGAAGTTGGTTCATGAGGTTTGAGAAAAGAAGCCATTTCCATACCATAAATGTTCAAGGTGAAGCAGCAAGTGCTGATATGGAAGCCACAAGTTATCAAAAAGAGTTAGCTAACATAATCAATGAAACTGACTGCACTAAAAAACAGATTTTCAATCAGCCTTATAGTGAAAGTAGATGCCATTGAGGACTTTCATACCTAGACAGGAGAAGTCAATGCCTGTACTCAATGTTTCAAAAAGCAGGGGTATAATGCAGTTGGTGACTTTAAGTTAAATCAAATGTTCATTTATCTTTCCTGAAATCCTAGAGTCCTTAAGAATTATGCTAAATCTATTCTTCCTGTGCTCTATAAATGGAATAACAAAGCCTAGCTGACAACACATATGTTCATCACATGGATTGTCCAATATTTTAAGCTCACTGTTGAGAACTATTGCTTAAGAGAAAAAAAAATTCCTTTCAACATATTACCTCTCATTGACAATGTACCCAAGTGCTCTGATGGGAGTTAAAAGGAGATTAATGCTGTTTCCATGCTGCTAACATTCATTCTGCAGCACACTGACTTCAGACGTTTAAGACTTATTATATAAAAAATGCATTTTACAAGGCTATAGAGGCCATAGATAATGAGTCCTTTGATGAATCGGAACAAAATAAATTGAACCCTTGCGATACGCTCCATAGGTGTGATCCCCCATTTACCTTCCCTCTATCAAACCTCCTCCCTCCCCTCATATCCCCTTCCTCTTCCCTCCTTCATCCTGGGCTATAGTTGTGATTTATGTTTCATAAGAAAGTGTAATATAAATCGATTTCATAAAAGTACTGAGTACATCGAATACTTTTTCTTCCATTCTTGAGATACTTTACTAAGAAGAACATGTTCCAGCTCCATCCATGTAAACATAAAAGAGGTAAAGTCTCCATCTTTTTAAAGGCTGCATAGTATTCCATGGTATACATATACCATAATTTACTAATCCATTCACGAGTCAATGGGCACTTGGGCTTCTTCCATGACTTGGCAATTATGACTTGGGCTGCAATGAAAAATTTGGTGCAAATATATTTGTTGCAAAGTGATTGTTGGTCTTTTGGATATAAAAGGCAGGTCTACTTTTAGATCCCTGAGTATTCTCCAAACTTCTTTCCAAAAGGAATGTATTAGCTTGCATTCCCACCAGCAATGCAGAAGTGTTCCCTTTTCTCCACATCCATGCCATCCCATCTGTTGTTTTGGGATTTTGTTATGTGGCCTACTCTTACTGGAGTTAGATGATATCTCAAAGTGACTTTGATTTGCATTTCTCTGATGATTAAAGATGATGAGCATTTTTTCATGTGTCTGTAGACCATGCACCTGTCTTCTTCAGAGAAACTTCTGTTCAAGTCTCTTGCCCACAATGAAATGGGATCGCTTGTTCTTTTTCAAATCTATCAAGTATAGAACATAAATATCTTAATACAATAATTAAGTAAATGAGGTGAAAGCTATATTAATTAGTTTGATGTAAACATTCCAAATTGTATAAAAAATCAACACATTGTACCCCACAAATGCATAAATGTATTCATGATCTATGTGTATATGTCTTAATAAAAATAAATAAATAAATAAATAAATAATTCAAAAACCTCTGGAAAGGATTCACCATTCTAGATGTCATTAACAACATTCATGATTTGTGGAAGGAGGTCAATATATCAACAGTAAAAGGATCTTGGAAGAAGTTGATTCCAATCCTCATGAATGACTTTGAGGTGTTCAAGTGGTAGAAGTAACTGCAGATGTGGTGGAAATAGCAAAAGAACTAGAATCAGCAGGTGAGCATGAAGATGTGACTGAATTGCTGCCAACTCATAAACTTAAACTTAAACAGAAGAGGAGTTGCTTCTTATAAGTGATCAAAGAAACTGGTTTCTTGAGATGGAATCTACTAGTGAAAATGCTATGAACACTGCTGAAATGACCACATATTATTTAGAATACTGCATAAATTAGTTGATAAAGCAGTGTCAGAGTTTGAGAGGACAAACTTCAATTTTGAAAGAAGTTCTACTGTGAGTGTAAAGCTATCAAACCATATCACATGCCACAAAGAAATATTGAAAGGAAGAGTAAATCAATAAAGCAAACTTCGGGGGTAGAGAACAAGATGGCAGACTAGAGACATCTCCATAGCAGCCACTCTTGGCCACTCCAACACCCAAGCACAGAGACAAGGAAATTTAAGAAGGAGGAAGTGAAAGGAGAAAGTAAGGGAAGGAAGTGAACAAGTAGAAAATACACATGAGGAGGAACCAACAAAAAAATTCTTGTAACATGAAAAACCAGAACAGATCAATCCCCTCCCCTCAAGCAATCACAATGCAGCTCTTACAGAGGATCCTACTTATAAAGAAATTATGGAAATGATATAAAGGGAATTTAGAGTATGGTTGGCAATAACAATGAAGGGAATTGAAGGGAGAGTGGAAAACCACCAAAAGGAAATCTAAAAACTGGCCTGAGAAATAAGTGAAAGGCATGAGGAAATTAGATAGGATATATCAGAGCTTAAGGAATTGAAGTGGTCAGAGAACTTAAAGATGCAGTAGAAAATATCAATTACAAATTTAAACCATGGAGAAGAAAGAATCTCAGAAGCTAGAGGATATGGTTTTGAGCTATTCTGGCATTTAAAGAGGCAGAAAAGAAGAGAGTAAAAGAAGAGCAATCTTAGAGTTTATGGGACTTCACAAAACATACAACAATACAAATTATAGCTATCCCTGAAGGAGAAAAAGAATGACCCAAAGGTATGTAAGCTCTATTCAAGGATATCATAAATTAAAATTTCCCAAGCATCACCAAAGATTCTGACACACTCCTTTTAGTTGGATATTGAACCCCAATTCGTCTCAATACAAATATAGCATCTCTTAGACACATTGTAATGAATCTTACCAAGGTCATAAAGAAAGAGAAAATTATGCAAGCAACTAGAAGTAAGCACCAACTGACCTATAGGGACAGATCCATTAGGGTGAAGTGGTCTTCTCAGCTGAAACTTTTCAAACCAACAGAGATTTGGCTTTGACTTTCAACTTACTCAAACAAAACAACTTGCAGCCTAAGATCCTCTATCTTGCCAAACTAAGTTTCATATTCAAAGTAAAAATCAAATCTTTTACTGACAAGTAAGTATTTAGGAAATTTTCTACTATAAGACTAGCTCTCCAGGAAGTATTCAAATGCATATATTACACAGAGACCATCACAGTGGACCACCATCAAAGTAAATACACCCAGAGACGAGGAGTTAAAGCCTAGATTCCACAGTGGCCAAAGTGTAAAAACTAAGCATCAGGTGCTCACTTCAGCAGCACATATACTAAAATTGGAATGATAGAGAGAAGATTAGCATGGCCCCTGCACAAGGATGACACGCATATTAAAGAAAAAAAACAACTAAGCATCAGAACCCCTAAAAGAAGACAAACAGAATTCCATCAAAGTTATCAATTCTCTCAATAAATGTGAATGGCTTGAATTTCCTACTGAAGAGGCATGGCATGGATGATTGGATAAAAAAACTAAAACCAACAAGATTCTGGGTTCAGGAAATGCATTTAACCTCTAAGAACAAAACAAGACTCGGGGTGAAGGGATGGAAAACAATATTTCAGGCAAATGGAAATCAGAAGAAATGAGGGAGGTCACAATTTTATTTGCAGATACAAGTGAATTTCAATCAATCTAAGTAAAGAAAGACAAAGATGTACACTATATACTGGTAAAGGGTACAATACAAAAAGAAGATATATCAATTCTAAACATATATGTACCCAACTTAAATGCTCCCAGATTTATAAAATGAACCCTAACCAGTATGAGCTATATTATATCCCATATCACCATAATATCTAGGGACTTTAACATCCCACTGACAGAACTGGACAGATCTTCTAAACAGAAACTGAACAAAGAAACAAGGGTCTTAAATGCAACTCTAGAACAATTAGGGTTAGTAGACATATACAGAATATACCATCCCAAAGCTAATGAGCATACATTCTTCTTGCCAGCTCATGGATCATAGTTCAATTTTTGTCCATATTCTAGATTAAACCCTCCACCCAGATTAAAAGAATATAAATTATACATTATATCTTTTTAGATCTCCAGGGATTAAAGGTAGAATTCAACTCCAAGAAAACTTCATCCCCACATAAATTCATGAAACTAAACAACCTTATGCTGAATGACAGCTGGGTCAAGGAGGAGAAAAAGAAGGAAATCATTAGATTCCTCAAACATAATGGCAATGAAGCCACAAACTATCAAAACCTGTGGGATACTGAAAAAGCAATCCTAACAGGAAAATTTATCACATTAGTTGCCCACATCTGAAAGAGAAAGAGTACAGATCAACAACCTAATGAAGCATCTCAAGAAAATGAAAAAGAAGAGTAATCAAATCCCAAACCTAGCAGAAGAAAAGAAATAACGAAAATTAAGCCAGAAATAAATGAAATTGAAAACAAAAAGCCATTCAGAAAATAAATGAAACAAAAAGTTGTTTCTTCAAAAAGGTAAACAAAATTGACAAAGCTTTGGCCAAATAGACTAGAAACAGAAGAGTGAGATGTTTAATAACCTTAATCAGAAACAATACAGGGAAAATAAGAACAGATACCACAGAGACATAAAAGATCATCTCTGGTTGCTACAAAAAAACTCTAGGCCCAGAAATATGACAATGTGGAGGGAATGAACAACTACCTGGAATCACACAACCTCTCTAGACTTAATCAGGAAAATAGATCTCTTGAATAGACCAATACCAAGCACAAAAATTGGAGAAACAATAAAAAGTTCTTAACAAAAACAAGCCTTGGTCCAAATGGATTTACACCAGAATTCTATCAAACTTTCAAAGTGTATCTTTATACTGCAGAACCTATTCCAAAAAATTGAGAAAGAAGGAACCATTCCCAATAGATTCTATGAAGCAAATATCACTCTGATACCAAAACTAGGAAGGGACTCAATAAAAAAGACAAATCTCACTAATCAACAGACAAATCTCACTAATTAATGTTGATATAAAAATACTCAATAAAATCCCAGCAAATACATTATAGCTACACATGAAAAAATATACATCATGATCAAGTAGGCTTTATCCCAGGGATGCAAGATTGGTTTAACATATGCAAATCCATTAATGTAATTCACCACATAAACAGAAGCAAAAACAAAGACCATATGTTTCTCTCAGTAGATGTAGAAAAAGCATTTAACAAAATTCAGCATCCTTTTCTGACAAGAATGCTTAAGAAAATAGGCATAGATGGCACATTTCTTAAATTGATAGAAGCCATCTATGACAAACCCACAGCCAATGTCATGCTAAATGACTTAAAACTGAAAGCTTTTCCACTTAGAACTGGAATTAGACAAAGATGCACAATATTGCCTCTACCATTCAACATAGTTCTGGAAGTTCCAGCCAAAGCAATCAGGCAAGAGAAAGATACTAAGGGCAGCCAAATGGGAACAGAGGAGGTCAAACTCTTGCTCTTTGCCAATGATATTGATACAGGATTCCACCACTCAGGGCTAGACAGGGAGTCCCTCATTCTCTAGGCCCAGAGCTAAGAGATCAGACCCCCATTTTCAAGCACAAGCATACTGCCTTCCTGTGATGTTTTTTTTGAGTGGCTCAACCTTGGGTAAAACTACACACCCTAATCCCTTCTCAGGGACAAAGACTGTAAAGGACATGATAACTACATTCATTCATTTGTTAATACACTCATTTCCACCTACCAACTGCCATCCAGGTGTAATCCTCTAGACCTAATTCCCCTAGACAAAGAGGCCACTGGAGACTCCCAGGAGAGCTCTTCAGTTTTTTTCCCCTTCCAGAAGTTCTGGTGCTTTTTACTTTTTCTATATTCCTTTCTAACTTCTAAAAAAAGTCCTATCTTAGCACTGATCTGTGGTTCATAGATTCATTCGTCAAATTCCCAAGATCAAGGACCTACTGAAGAGCAAAATTCTGGTATCAATATGTTTTTATACTTAGAAAATCCCAGACACTCAACCCCAAGATTCCTGGACATGATCAAGAAATGCAGTAACATTGTAGGGTATAAAATCAGTGTTCAAAAATCAGTAGCATTTGTATATGCCAATAACAATTGAGCTAAGAGGCAAATCAAGAATATAATGTCCTTTACAGTAGCTTCAAAGAAAATGAAATACCTGGGAACATATCTAACAAAGGAGATGAAGGATCTCTATAGAGATAATTTGGAACCCTGAGGAAAGAAATAGCAGAAGACATTAACAAATGGAAAAACATACCAATCTCATGGCTGGGAAGTATCAACATTGTGGAAATGTCTATACTTACCCAAAGCAATCTACAGATTTAATGCAATCCTCATTAAAATGCCAACATCATACTTTGAAGAATGTGAAAAATAGTTCTTTGTTTTGTATGAAACCACCAAAAAAAAAAAAAAAAGAAAGAAAAGAAAAGAAAAGAAAAAGAAGACAAAGAACCCATATAGCCAACGCAATTCTTATCAATAAAAACAGATCTGGAGGCATCATTATACCAGGGTTCAGGTTATACTATAAGTCCATAATGATCAAAACTGCATGGTATTGACACAAAAATAGAGACATAGATCTATGAAACAGAATAGAAAACCTAGAGATGAAAACATCCTCATATTTCCATCTGATCTTTGAAAAACCAAATAAAATCATACACTGGGGAAAAGAATCTCTATTCAACAAATGGTGCTAGAACAGTGGTTCTCAACCTTCCTAATGCTGCAACCCTTTAATACATGTCATGACCTACAGGTTGAGAACAGCTGTGCTAGAACTGGATAAGCACATGTAAAAGACTGAAAATAGGCCTCATCTCTCACCTTTGACAAAAATTGACTCATGGGGCAGTGCCTGTGGCTCAAGGAGTAGAGTGCCACCCCCATATGCCAGAGATGGTGGGTTCAAATCCAGCCCTGGCCAAAAAAAACTGCAAATAAATAAATATTAATAATAATTTTTTAAAAAATGGACTCGTGATAGATAAAAGATTTAAACTAAGACATGAAGCAATAAAAATTCTTAAAGAAAGTGTGGGAAAAACTCTTGATGACATTGGCCTAGGGAAAGATTTTGTAAATAAGACTCCATTGGCAATTGCAGTAACAACAAAAATAAATAAATGGGACTTAATTAAGCTAAAAGGCTTCTGCATGGCTAAGGGCACAACAATTAAAGGAAACAGACAGCTATCAGAATGGGAAAAGATATTTACATGTTACCAATCTGACAAACGGTTGATAACTAGAATCTACAGAGATCTTAAATTAATCAACAAAAAAAGGGGAGCAAACAATCTCATTTATCACTGGACAAGAGATACAAACATAGCCTTTTCTGAAGAAGACAGAAGACTGGCCAAAACCCACATGAATAAATGTTCATCATTCCTAACTATCAGAGAAATGTAAATCAAAACCACCTTCAGATATCATATAACCTCAGAGAGGATAGCCCACATCACAAAGTCCCAAAGCTTGAAATGCTGGTGCAGCTATGGAGAAAAGGGAACACTATGTTGGTGGAAGTTCCAATTGATACAGCCTCTTTGGAAAGAATTATGGAGAATCCTCAAAAAACTTAAAGTAGTTCTTCCTTTTGATCCCACATTCAGTATCTACTCAGAAGAAAAAATCATTTTATCTTAAGGACATATATACTAGCTCAATATACAATTGCCAAGATGTGGAATCAACCCAAATGCCCATCAACACATGAATGGATTAATAAATTCTGGCATGAGTATACCATGGAATACTACTGAGCCACAAGAAAGATGGAGACTTTACATCTTTTGTGTTAACCTGGGGAATTGGAGAGCATTCTTTTTAATAAAGAATCACAAGAATGGAAAAACAAGTATACAATGTATTCAATACTAATATGAAACCAGTAGACGAACAAATACCCTTACAAGAGAAAAACACAATTAAACTCAGGTGGGGTTGGGGAAGCTATGGAGAAAGGAGGAGGATTGGTGTACTCTCATCTAACAGGCACCATGTAAGGGTTTATGGCACACTTCCTGGGTGAGGGGCACAACTACAACTTGGACTTTATACAATGCAAACAATATAGCCTAATCGTTTGTGCCTTGATATTAATTTATAATAAAAAAAAAGAAGTAAACGTCATTGTTGTCCGATTTTAAGAAATTACCACAGTCATTCTCAACCTTCAGCAACCACCACCCTGATGAGTCAATAGCAATCAACACAGAGGCAAGAGCCTCCACCAGCAAAAAGATTATGACTTGCTGAAGGGTAGATGATTGTCAGCATTTTTTAACAGTAAAGTATTTTCAAATTAAAGTATGTCCATTGTTTTTTAGACATAATACTATTGCA